TGCCTGCAAGATAGGGAGAATGTGAACAATCAGCCGGAGCTCTGATTGCTTACCTTGTCTGTCACCTCTTTTAGCAGATCCCCTAGCCCGGCAACTTGGGGGACTCCTACTACATGGTTTGTATCGCGCTTGACCAAGCCTGAAACTACAAGTAAGCTTCAAGTGAAATTGATACATTACCTTATGCATCTCCACCAGTTACAGATACCACCCCTGGATGGAGGAAGAGTACTTCCAGAGAAGATGCCACATCTACCTATGAGACAGATAAGGCAAGTTAAGACGATACCACACTCCGGTACTTAGAAGTTTCGTGGTTACGAGATCATTCTCCCACAATATTTCCTAATGTCATTTGTACTAAATCATTCACTTGTACTCACTAAAGGAGAGCTTGAACCTATGTACTTGTGTAAACCCTTCACAATTAATGAGAACTCCTCTATTCCGTGGACGTAGCCAATCTGGGTGAACCACGTACATCTTGTGTTTGCTTTCCTATCTCTATCCATTTATATACTTATCCACACTAATGACCAGATCAATCTAGCGAAGATCACAAAAAGTGACCGTTTTCGCTACCTAGGATCTATCTTGCAAGAGAACGGAGAATTAGATGGAGATCTCAACCATAGAATACAAGCTGGGTGGATGAAGTGTAAGAGTGCATCCGGCGTGTTGTGTGACCGTCGTAGGCCACTGAAGCTCAAGGGAAAATTTTATAGGACGGCAATAAGGCCAGCGATGTTGTATGGCACAGAATGTTGGGCGGTGAAGCATCAACACGTACACAAAATGGGTGTAGCGGAGATGAGGATGCTTCGTGGATGTGTATGGGCACACGAGAAAGGATAAGATTGGGAATGAGGATATCCGAGGTAAAGTAGGAGTAGCCAAAATTGAAGGAAATATGAGAGAAAATCGGTTTCGGTGGTTTGGACATGTGCAAAGAAGGCCTACTGACGCTCCGGTTCGAAAATGTGACTACGGGACAGAAGTTCAGGGCCGAAGGGGTAGAGGAAGACCTAGGAAAACTTTGGAAGAGACCCTAAGAAGAGACTTGAGTACTTGGATCTAACGGAGGACATGACACAAAACCGAGCGCAATAGCGTTCTAGGATTCATATAGCCGACCCCACTTAGTGGGAAAAGGCTTTGTTGTTGTTGTTGTTGTTGTTGTTTGTAATATATGTTTTTGGAGTTAAATAATTGAGTTTGGTGTGGGGTGGAGTTTGGTTGGATTTGGGGTATGCCAATTTTAGGAGAGATTATGCCGATTTTTTGGGATTATTTTATGTTTTTTTTTGTTATTTGACCATGTTTGTTTTGTTTCGTAGGGAATCGTCAAGACTTTGATGGCGAAAGTTGATGATTAGGACACTATCGGTCCATATCCCCTGCCACTACCACCACATTAGACTTGTATTAGGATTTTATTATTGTACTTTGGTAATTTATGTGTACATTTTTAATATAATATATATTATGGATAATTTGATTACTATTTTTCATATGTAATTTTATTTTGAATATGTCAATTTAAATTAAAGTAATGAAAAAATAAAGATACAATTAAATTAAATTAAAAAAGTAAAAATTCGAAAAATTTTGTGCTACCAAATATTTCGTCGCGTAAACAATTACTATAATTAAATTAAAATAAGAGAAATAAAAAAAAACTTGCTCAACAAAATATTTCGTCTCGCAAACAATTAATTTCGTCGCACAAAATATTAAATTAATTAAATTAAATAAAAAAAATAAAAAACCAAAAACTTTGCGCGATGAATATTTATTTTCGTCATGCAAACCCTATCGTAACAAGCTTTGTGCGACTAATCATGCATAACAAAATTTTTGTCTCGTAAGGTTTTGAGCAAAGAAATCATACTTTGCGCAACAAATCTTATTTCGTCGTGCAAAGTATTTTTTGTAGTAGTGTATCAATACACATGCACATATATTATAATTCATACTAATCGTGAATTAGGGGCGGCTCTGAGATTTCAAGGGTTTTGTGCGAAAATTAAAATAGGGCACTTTCACATACGAAACTTTTTTTTTTGGGTGTTTAAAACATTTTTTTTTCTTCTACAGTATATTTATGAGTACGAAACTTAGTATGAAAGTCAACTTTGTAACACAATACTAAACAATATATTATAAGATATAGTATTCTCCAAAACAGAAAATAACTTCGGATATTTTTCAAATTTGTACTTAATTAAGTTATGCATATATAGATTTTTTTTTTAATAGAGACATTAGAACTGAAATATATATATATTGAACAAATAATATTATCTACACTAAAGGGGAAGGGGTGGACTTAGCCTCACAATGAGTTAGCAATAATATGGTTCAAATTCGCCTTTGGCGAGAATCGAACTTAAAATCTCTCACTTACAAGTGAAGAGAAATACCACTAGACCGTAATACTAAGTGGCATATATATAACTAAAAGTTGGTGGACCTTGGAGATGGGGGCTATGCAACTGCTCCTTTGGCACTCCCCAAAGCCGCCACTGTCGTGAATATATTATAACTTTGTAATCATCTAATCAAAACATTTTAAAATGTAAATACCATAATATATAATGGCCGCAATTACATTCAAGAGATTGGCAACAATCTCTAATAATTGCAATGTGTGGGGTACCATATATATTTCAAGTGTATATAGAGGTGTGGTTGGACAAGGTGACCAAAGAGATTGTGATTCGCGACATATAAAGTAATGAAACAAAGCATATGAAGCCAACAATCACAGAATAATCAATAATTAGCCAACCTTGATGTGATGAAAAGTTTATATGCCTAGGGTTTCAAGTCCATATTATTCCACGAGACAGGTATTAGAGACTAAGAAAATGTATAACCCTTCAAATGTACCCCCACAATGGAACAGTACATATATATAATTTTCAGTTTGATTTGAGAACAGAAAATTCAAACTTTTGATGTTTTTGAACAAAGTAGAGAGACGCTAATTAATTGGTTTTTATTTATTTTTTTCATTCACCTTTTTAGTTTTAATTTTTAACACGTTATCAAACGAGCCCTGAATTATTATAATATAGACTTTGTCGGCCGACTAAACCTAGCTTTTTAATCCCAAGATTAGGCAGGATGAACCACATCGAATTAAACTAATCTAAATGATTCCAAGTGTGTCTAAATGTAGATTGGCTTCATATGCATTTCATGCTTGAAGTAAAAGCTATAGCAATTGGTCTCTAATTATGATTGATGAAGACATAAAGTGATCAATAATTCATCAAAGCCAAAGTCAATTATAGAAGAAGATCAGCTTCCATGAACTTGAATTGTCTTACACAGATTGCCATAAAAGGAGGCCGGTTCCTACCCCATTATGGCATGCATGCAAGAAAGTACAGCCGTAGGTCTAATTGATACAGTTAATTAGTCATAGATCTAATTGATACGTTTATACTAAAATACTAATTTGTAAACTTGGGAAAGAGCCAAGTTTGCTAGAGTAATGCACTTCTCCTTAATTAATTATATTAAAGTTTGAATCTCTGTCATAATTTAGTTTAAGTCAAATTAGAATATCGCTTAAATAAAAATAAAATAAAATAACTATGCTTTTTCTCTTCTTTTGTCCACTTAGCCACTAAGAAATTATACTCAACTTTAAGCCAGATAATTTCAATCAGTTTGTTTTGGCTTTCAAGCACAATCCCATGTGTGAAACAACCTAACACTGCCTAGCTAACAAGGAATGAGTAAATACAAAAGCACTTGTGAGCTTCTTCTACACACACCAACAGAGCTAAAAAGCTCTTTTGGGCATGTGGGTAGGAAGGCGTTTTTCTTGGGCAATGTCACAACTGGAGCTCATAAATGTTAAAAAAGCCACAGTAGAAATGGCCATTTGAGTTGTGTGGCTTCATTGAGTACACTTTTTCCAGGTGTTCTTCTTGCTTTGTATCAGTCAATATATATATATATATATATATATATATATATATATATTTATATTCAGGGGAAGCTATCAATTTGTTTTTCCATTGCCATTCTGAATGGCTCTCACAGTCCCTATATATATAGTCTATTTTTTTCACAGACACCACAACTGCAAACCCTAATTGAGATGAATGCATTTATCTTTTAAAGCAGTCCCATGTGAGCAATATCAATTCAGGACAAGGAAGATAGTTCAGAAACCACCCACTCATTCTTTTCATCTAACAGCAGCTTGGAGTTTGACATGCAAAATTAAACTTTCTTTCAAGTCCAACAGAAAAGCATCCATCCAAACAAGGAAAAAGTAAATCCAAAGTACTCGTCTGAAAAAGGAAAAGGTAAAACTGTAACCACACACACATAACTGGTGATGCTTATTGTGGACTGTCAATTTAGGGTTTAAGATAATCTCTTTACAGTGTGATGCTTGGTGTAATTTTTACTGTGCATCGATAAAATTAACAACAATAAGAGCTGTTGTGCATTAGTGAACTATAATCCCTTTACAGTGTGATACTTGCGTGCAACTAAGGATATCCACTATTAATATCTATGTCTTCACATGAAACGAGGTGGTGTTAGTATTGCTTAAGAAACTGTAATCTCTTTCTAGAGAAATTCTTCGATATAATCTCTTCTATTTTTAGACCCAATATTCTGCTAGAGGGGGAAGATTTGAGATAAGTCACAAAATGGGTCTGTCATAGTTATCAAACTCACCATCCACATGACAAGAGTCAAAAAGGAGATCTCATATTTACCAGTGAAAATGAATATCGCTCCAATGTAGGCTAGTAGCTTATATGTAATTTCTTTAACATCTCTCTCTCTATCTCATCATTTGACACGTGATGTTATGTATTCTTTTTTATTCGTTTTTGGTCCAAAACCAGTTTTCAGAAGCCCAAAAGAGAAAAGAGAACAGGGTCCATCAAAAGTTGAAGGTCCAAGAACGCAATGGCCTCAACCAAACCTTTGTTACCGTTTCAGAGATTTCTGCAAATCTGCTATTTGATGCAATGGTTGGCTGGATTTGTAACTTTGTTCTCGCACCATTAAAATATGAAATCTCCAAGAAAAATTTGCAGTCCGTTTACTTTATGACCGTTAACCACCTTTGGCGCCTAAATTCAAAAACTCCGTAGCCAAAGCCAAAGAAAGACAGTCAATCTTCCCTACCGCTTCCCAAAACTTGTAATTTGTAAAAGACCTCAATGCACGATGCCATATTTCAAAAGGTGCACAGGGTTATGTCCCTTTTCAAGCAATGCACCACCACGAAACATGTAAAGCAAATCCATGGGCACATAATCCACAAAGGGCTTGATCAAAACGTTCTTGGCAAGATCGTCTCTTTCTGCGCGGTTTCGGACCGCGGAGACATGGACTATGCCGTCTCTGTTTTCAGAAGCGTTGAAAGCCCGGATGGGTTTTTGTGGAACACAATGATCAGAGGGTTTGGGAAGACCAGGAAGCCTGAAAGGGCATTTGAGTTTTATAAGAGAATGCAGGAGAATGGAAAGGTGGCTGATAATTTCACACTTTCCTTCTTGCTCAAGGTTTGTGGGCAATTGGGTTCTTACGTTTTGGGGAAACAGATGCATTGTGCTGCTCTGAAGCATGGGTTGGAGTCTCATGTCTTTGTAAGGAACACTCTCATTCATATGTATGGGATGTTGAAGGATGACCAAACTGCGTTCAATCTGTTTGATGAAATGCCTCAACCAGATTTAGTGGCTTGGAATACTATCATTGATAGTTATGTCAATTGCGGAAAGTGTAAGGAAGCACTTGACTTGTTTTTACAGATGGTAAACAGTGGCACAGAACCTGATGACGCCACGGTGGTTTTGACCCTCTCGGCGTGCTCTACATTGGGTGCATTAGATTTTGGGAGGAGAGTTCATTCTTTTATTAATCGTTTGAATCTTAGCAGCAGTGTGACGGTGACTAATTCGCTTATCGGCATGTATGCAAAGTGCGGAGCTTTTGAAGAAGCATATGAGACGTTTTGTAAGATGAAGGGGAAGAACATAGTGTCGTGGAACACGATGATTCTGGGGCTTGCAACGCATGGGCATGCAGACGATGCATTGGAATTGTTCTCGAAGATGTTGAAGGAAAAGCTTGGGATGCCGGATGAAGTAACTTTCTTGGGAGTTTTGTGTGCTTGTAGCCATGGAGGGATGGTTGATGAAGGAAGAAGGTATTTTGATGTTATGAGCAAGGAGTATCGTATCCAACCAACCATGAAGCACTACGGATGCATGGTGGATATGTTGGGGCGAGCCGGGTACGTGGAGGAGGCTTACAGGTTGATAAAAAACATGCCGATGGAGTGTAATGCCGTTACATGGAGGACATTGTTGGGAGCGTGTCGGCTGCACGGTGATATTGTGCTCGGAGAAAAGGTGAGGGGTCATCTTTTGGAGCTGGAACCAGATCACAGCAGCGACTACGTTCTTCTATCGAACATGTACGCAAGTTCAGGCGAATGGAACGAAGTTATACGAGTGAGAAAATCAATGATTGACAGGGGAGTTCAAAAACCAGAGCCTGGTAATAGCCTGGTTTAAAGGTCAGAGATCGTTTCGAAATGACCACTTTCACTTCGGCGTTCTGTATAAAGTCTCGAAAGTTTTATAGCATTCCATCTAAAAAGATGTTTTGTTTTTGCTGAGATTTATCACTAGCGTTTCAAATGTAGTAGCCTGATGGAGGATAAAGCCCTCATTGGGGATGCTCTTATAAGAGAGAACCAATGAAGGAAAAGGGAGTGCCAAAACCAGAGCTTGGTAAGGTGTACAATACTCGGCAAATACGGATACAGATTTATACATAATCTCATTCTTTACAGAGGGTTACAGTCTGATATAACCTATCTAAGCTAAGTGATTTTCTTTTGTTTCTTGTCCTGCCACTCTTTGATCTGAGCTTCTATCTTTTCTTCCACGCTTGCATGAAAACCTCGATAAGGTTCGTAGCCGAATACCAATTGAAGACACTGCACAATGCAACTGTAACATGACTGACCCATCATCAACAAGAGAAACCATCTCCGATTCAGAAAGGATTTAGATTCGTTACCTCAAGCAGCACAAAGAAAGGACCGATTAGAAACGCTTGAACAAGGTTGTCCAAAAGAGCTGGTGCTTGTTTCTGAAAAGATATGTTATCGTCAGGTATGTATACACATTTTGTTGCTTTCAACCACGAAAATGATTATCGTGAGATGTATACTACGTCAGGAACACAGGCACAATGCGTATTACAAAATCTCAGTTACCTCAAAAACCCCGTGGCCTATGAACTGTCCAGTCCAACAGAACAACTGAGCAGCCAACACAACCTGAACAAGTGATTCCTCATAGAATTAGGAAATTGAAAAACAACAAAGCTAGGCAAAGGCGCCAGAACAGGGAAAACCGGAGAAGCTAAAGTCCGAACCAGAGCTAGACAAACATGACCATCACCGGAGAGACCTATAGAGGAGGACAAGAAGCCCATCCGAAGCCAACACACGAACCAGAGACGTACATCTCTTGATGGACAGAAAGGCATAGTTCATCCAAGTGGCCCTTCCATTCAAAGTCATTGCCTCCTCCAAAACCCTAAACCCCACACAACACATTCACATCCTGTAAAACATAAACTTCGTGGACAAGAATTTTCAATCATTCACCCAACTAGGACTGCATTCGAAATTCTGTGAAGACACCGTGGGTAGAACTTGCCCCTAAAAACCGGCAAAGGGGTGCCCAAGAGATCTTAAACCACTCCGAGATTTGTTATTTTTCCGATGTGGGACAACTAGTCCTATCAAGTCAAATTTTAATAGGACAGGGTCTTCTTTCTTTCCTCCTAATCCATCAAGTTCAAGATCCGGATTATTGAAATTTAATCCAACGGCTACAAACAGATATCCACTTTAAAAGTTATAGTCCAGGGATCCAGTCCATTGAAATTTGATCTAACGGTTACAAATAGAAATCCACTTTAAAAGTTATAATAACTTTAACCGTTAGATCAAATTTTAACAGTCCATCTCCCCGAACTTGATGTATTAAAATGAAGGAATTCGGAGAGAATCCTGTCCAAATTGATCAACAAAACTAACAGAATTCCTCCTAGCAACCCTAACTTAATGTCATAAAAAAGAGAGGAAATTAATCAGATTAAAATGTTAGAAAACCATTCCATCGAACTCAAAATCCAAATCCTTAGAACCATAAAATCATCACCCGGAAATCGCAAAAAGGAGAGAGCTTTCAGCTTTACCTTCCATGACAAAGAAAACCCAAGACGGCTAGCAAGCGGGTGGATTGAACCCAGCAGAGAACACAGAGCAGAGCAGCAACAGACCCAGCTTTCTTATCCAAGCACACATAAAACCCAGCATAGTAGCATACATCGCAGTGAGAGCAAACCCAAAATTCAAACAGAACCCATTTGGGAAACTGTAGAGAGAAGGTGTGAAGTGGAAGAGAACCAGAGAGGTGAAGAAAATCGGCCACACAAACAGTGTGTGGATCAAAATGTTAACTGGGTTGCTGTGATAAGCGCCGTAGAAGGCGAAGTGCCGTTCCAGATCGAACAATCCGGTCCTCCCCATGAAATTTTCCGGGAAAATGGACGGATTTTCCTAGAAAACAGATTGGGAAGGTGAATGAAAATGCAACGAAATTACAAAAAAAAAGAAACTAAAACAGGAAAAAAATATGGCCCATGCAGGTCTCGAACCTGCGACCTTCGCGTTATTAGCACGACGCTCTAACCAGCTGAGCTAATAGGCCAGTTGATAATTTCTGTTAAACTATATTATTTATTGCAAATCTAAAATTTTCATATGGCTACAACCGCATCAGAAGGGTGGTTGCAAATGGTTCTCTTATCCACTTTCCTTCCAAACCAATGAAAACAAAATTTGCAACCCAAACTCTTACAAACCAATTTGGAAGTGCATCTTCTGAACTCAAACTCATTGGAAGACAATGGCAAAAGCTATCATGGGATTCACCATTACCACTCCACATATTCACAGCTCTTCTCTCCAAACAACAAAATTGGACATGAGTTGCTCATCAACCAGATTTGTAAAAATTCAACTTTTCTCTTATGTTAATCACTTGTACTGCAAATTGTCTTGTTATGTTTGAAATGCTATATGGACAAACGTGAGTTAAGTCAGTTAACACAAACAGTTTCCGCGCCCTCCCCCATGTAGATTAGAGTAGTTTAGTGTGTTGTCTTGTAAAATAAAAATGGTGCATATCCACGGAAATGCTTTTGAGTACTTTTATTTTGCAGCTTAGGCAGTCTTCAAGCTCTGAACTTTTCAGTGGGTGCAAGCAGGTAATTAACCAGCTTTGTAAATTTTTTGTCCCCAAAAAATGAACTTTTCATGAATTTATAAAAAAATTTACTGCATTAATATATTTTGGTTTTATAGATCGTAGGGAAAAAAAGCAAAAGAGCCTCTTTCTGCAGAACAAATGCTTTCCCAGACTGGCCTCTAATGGCAGTTCTTGTGGAACACATAGAAGGCCAGAGAGACCTCATAACCCACAAATCTATCGTGCATCTCAGTGATGAAAACATAAAGAATGTCTGTAAGTATTGTATTTCCTAATTAATTTTTTATTAGTTTTTGTGTAATTTGTGGTGGATTTTAATTGGGAATGCTTGAAAATTGTGACAATTTTTTTTGTTTTGTAGATACTTTTTACATCATGTTCACTTGTTGGGGATGCTTGTTCTTTGGTTCCATGAAGGTAATTAATTAGCTACTCTCACTTCAATTTGTTTTTTATATTCAAAATTTAATTAGATTATATAATTTCATTAGTTTAGAGATTATTCTGAAAGGTTGGGGAATGTTTTCAGGATCCATACTATGATTCAGAGACGTATAGAGGAGATGGAGGGGATGGCACTGGATTCTGGATTTATGAGAAGGTATTTAACCCTTAATTATTACTTAAATTATGTGTATCAAACATTATTTCCACACTTTTGAGTTAGCTTAGATTAGATATTCAGGTCATAGATTATTCAAAAGCATAGAAAATGAGGATAATACGAGCTAGCTATAGTTTTAAAGGCTCTCACAAAAAAGCTCCTCAAAACTCCATTTCTTATTAAGAAAGAAAAAAACACTTAAATGACCATTTTGAAGAAAAGCCCCGCCTAAACCCGACTGTTATTGCACTTGAAATTAGCAATTGCTAAGGGTCTTTTTTTTTATTGAATAATGATATTTTTTTTATGAACGAAACATATAGAGGACCAGATGTAAAGAGTGGTCTGATTAAAATTTTGTCGGGCCTTTCAACTAGATAGGGGTTTTTTTTTTTTGTTCCCCATTGTTTAGTGACCAACTTTGGGAACTGTTTATTGCAGCAAGAAGACATAGAAGAATCAGCAAGAGCAGAGTTGTGGAGGGAGGAGCTGATTGAGGAGATAGAGCAGAAGGTTGGAAGTCTAAGAGAATTAGAAGAGGCTGGCAAGAAGGAGGAGCTTGTCAAGTGAATCATCATGCATTGTTTAATATTCTTCCACAGTTCCACTTCCAGCTCTTCAAACATCCAGACGTTATTGTATTTATATATACCATGTTTGTAGATAGTTAAATTCTCATGAAAATAAACACCAACTTTTGGAGATTATGATGAAGTTGTTGCAATTTTAATTGTCATGAATTCAGCGGTCCGTCTGCGTGCCATGACCTTTGTCAAATGTTATGCATTTGCGTTGAATCCGATGACGATTTTTGTTAGAATGTAAAGTCATCTCCAACCAACCCAACCAAAGAGCTATAAGGCTAAAAATAGCTCGGAATGATACGAAAACCGTCTCCAACCAAAGGCTATGCCAAAGAGCTTGTGGGCCCCACTAGGCCTGAACCCCAAAATCAGGCCAACGGGCTGGCCATTTCCAGCCAGCCCTCCAGCGCCAGAATGTCAAGCTTGACATTTTGCCAGCCCTCCAGCTCAGCCCATTTGAATGCCAACGGCTACCTGGCGTCAACATGACGCCAACTAGCTAACGTCATGCCGTCAAGTTACCGTTGGAATTTGAATTTTTTTTTTGGAAGAAATTAAAATAAAAAAATCTAATTTTTTTTTTCCTATAAATACCTACAACATTGAAAACTAAAGATAAGAAGTGTCATGTAGATAAGAATTCTATTTAAAATTTGCACATCAATTACATCTCAACACGTGACACTAAATCTTATCCGAAAAATTATTAAGATTACATAAAGATAAGAAATCTGAAGAGTTACTTACTTTAGCGACACGTGTCACTCAAAATTCTATCCAAAAAATTATTGAGATTACATAAAGATAAGAAATCTGGAGAGTTACTCACGTTAGAGACACGTGCAATTCGAAATACTATAAAAAAAATTATTGAGATTAACCATATTAATTTAATTAAAATAATAAATTATGTTTGGCCTATGTCTCTTTGGCCCCCTCGGTTAGAGATGATTTTTTGTCAAAATGTTATGTTTGGCCTATAGCTCTTTGGCTCCCTTGGTTGAAGATGGTATAAAATATGGCATAGCATTGTTTATTAAAATATAATTTCTTGCAGGGTTATAGAGCCAAATAAAGGAAGCCCTTTGGCCTTCTTTAATATGGCATAGCACTATTCATTCAAATATAATTTCTTACAGAGCTATAGGGCTAAAGGAAGGAAGCCCTTTGGCCCTCTTTCGGTTGGAGATTGCCTAAGCATTCAATCCAAAATTAATTGAGAATAAGGGAAAAAGTTCAAAATCTTTAAGCTCTAAGCTAAACCTTCATCCTTCGATGTAGGAAGGATACGATCAACAATTTCAACGACACACGAACAATGGTTGTATTTGGTACAGAGCAATTCATTAGCTAATTAACACTAAAACCTCACAATCCTGGTGATTTCATTAGGGGAAAACTTACATGCAATTGAGACAGAAAAATAACAATACCTCAAACTTATCACATGTTGTTATGTGTTTTAACTTACTCACATGACATTACATAATTCATTTGAGATAAGCGCCAGAGAGGTGAAGAAAATGAGGATAACACAAGCTAGCTGTAGTTTTAAGGGCTCTCACAAATAAGCTCCTCAAAACTCCATTTCTTATTAAGAAAAAAAAAACACTTAAATGACCATTTTGAAGAAAAGCCCCGCCTAAACCCGACTGTTATTGCACTCGACATTAGTAGTTGCTAAGGGTTTTTTTTTAGTGAATAATGATATTTATTTGATGAATGAAGCATATAGAGGATCATGTGTAAAGAGTTGTCTGATTAAAACCTTGTCGGGCCTTTCAACCAGATAGAGTGTTTTTCTTTGTTCCTCATTGTTTAGTGACCAACTTTGGGAACTGTTTATTGCAGCAAGAAGACATAGAAGAATCAGCAAGAGCAGAGTTGTGGAGGGAGGAGCTGATTGAGGAGATAGAGCAGAAGGTTGGAAGTCTAAGAGAGTTGGAAGAGGCTGGCAAGAAGGAGGAGCTTGTCAAGTGAATCATCATGCATTGTTTAATATTCTTCCACAGTTCCACTTCCAGGCCTTCAAACATCCGGACGTTATTGTATATATACCATGTTTGAATATAGATAAATTCTCATGAAAAGAAACACCAACTTTTGGAGATTATGATGAAGTTGTTGCAATTTAACTGTCATGAATTCAGCAGTCAGGCTGCGTGCCAAGACCTTTGTCAAATGTTATGCCTTTGCGTTGAATCCGATGACGATTTTTGTTAGAATGTGAGCATTCAATCCAAAACTAATTGAGAATAAGGGAAAATGCTCAAAATCTTTAAGCTCTAAGCTAAACCTTCATCCTTCGATGTTGGAAGGATACGATCAACAATTTTAACGACACACGAACAATGGCTGTATTTGGTACAGAGCAATTCATTAGCTAATTAACACTAAAACCTCACAGTCCTGGTGATTTCGTTAGGGGGAAACTTACATGCAATTGAGACGGGAAAATAACAATATCTCAAACTTATCATGCATTGTCATGTGTTTTAACTTATCCACATGGCATTACATAATCCATTTAAGATACTGTCACCTCTATGTCTCAGTTGCATGCAAGTCCATATCATCATCGAGAACTAAGAAAAAATATAAAAAATCAGTAAAAATTTAGTAAGTTGTAAAATCGAACCCGGTGGATTGATGGATTATTGGATTATTAGGGTTATGGAGAACAATACTGCACACTGATTTGCCTCTTGTTTCTTTGCTTAGTGTGGACTCAAAAAACAGTTCCAAAACTCATGGACTTGTTCTAGAAGATAGCCTTTTCCCTTGGTTTTCTTGCAAACCAGTGTTCCAAAATCACAACCTATGGGCTACCCTACCTTTCAGCACACAAAAAATGGTCCAAAATCTGTGGGCAAATAATTAAAAATATTATCATAAAATTCTAGCCTATTTATCAAGCAATCCAATTATCCAAGGAGGTTCATGAACTGAAATAAACAGATCGCAAGCACATGCAGATGTGGTGGACTTAATCCATCATCTAGAATTCCAGGTGCTCTCATTGTCACGCAAATATCATCCAGACGAAAAATATCCAAGCCAACTTTCTTGCATGACACTCCCATAATCTATGTGGGTTTTTGGTCCTACTCTGTCTTTGGAGAGATTTTTCAGTGTGCCATAAACACGGTCTTGTACATTATCACAATACAAGTAGTTGGATACTTGAAAAGAAAAAAAAAGTGTGCTATCCACACACCCCTTTTTACTTCTCACACACCCCTTTTTTATTTTTGTCCATTGATCTTCTTCACTTCATCCGATCCAACGGTCGAAAATTAAAAGGGTCTATGAGAAGTAAAAGGGGGTGTGTGGATATCACACCCCAAAAAAAACTTCAACCACTTATATTATGACACTTGGTGTACTATATCGTGTTTCCAACACACTGAAAAATTTCTCCTACTGCCTGCAACTCCGATTTGCCATTTAAATGGAATTGTTTTGGGGATGGGGATCCTCAATTAATTTGTAAACTTGGATAAAGTGAAATGAATATATACCAAAGAAATGATAAGGAGATTTTCTCAAAAACATGATTTTCTATAGACTTTCTGACACTTCATGTTTTTAGCAAAATGTTTTATAATGTTGACACTGAAATTGATCTTAAACTACAAGGTGACAAAGAATACTTAGAGAGTCCCACTTTTAAGGGAGTCTCCTTAATGTTTCTCTATATACAATATTTTCAGTTTGTTCTTACTTGACATGATTGATCATTTACAGTACATAATCGAGCTTCCAATTTGCGGTTTAAGTCCAAATTTTGATACTTAAATTCTAAAGTCTAAATGATCGTGTCAAAAAATAAGTTCATCAAAGTTGAATTTCGGAATGTCTATACACATGGTCTCTATTTTGTTTTATTGAAATTATTCATTTACTTAATTTATCTTTGTTCTCTTTCAACTAAATATAAAATCAATAATCTCTTAATCCAACAACTGATGACTTATTTGACCAAAAAAACAAAGAACAAAAACTGACTTGCGTTCCAAGAGACTTCAGTTGAGTAAAGTGCAGAGCTTGGAACTCCTAGGAAACTCAGTAAAGTAATTTAATTAGAACTTGGTTTTCTTTCTTTTTTCCCTTGATTAGGGATCGGATTAGGCCTTTGTACCATGACTCAGCACCCATGATTTTTAATGGGAAAAATATCATCTGCATCTCAAACCCTAGTGCGTCCATCGTGTGTTTGCAGTATATATTTTGTATTAATTTAATGTTTAACACGTATTTTATGATCATGGAGTTGTTAAATGCTGCGATTTGATCAAGATTTATCATCATTGATTAAGCCCTAAGCAGGAGACTGACCACAAAGCATCATCATATTCTTTTGTTTATTAAGGAACATTATTGGGTAATTATAAAAAGACAGAAAGCATTCGTGAGGATCCCATGTTTTCATATGATCGAATAATTATGTATGAAGTTAATCTACCCTACACATACGATCAAATGCTCTCATGTTTTCTTTTGCTAGCGTAGATGCAGAGGGGCGTTGAGGGAAAGCGAAATGTGTAATCTCATAAGGCCTTAAATTTGAAGAGCCCCAAAAAGAAAATTTTGATATGCATCTTTTAATCAAAAACAGAACTTTTTAATAAAAATAAATAGTAAGAATTTCACAGAGAAATAGATTTTACTAGCCAAGATAGCATTCTCAAAAAGAAAAAAGTCAAAAAATAAAATAAAATAAAATCTATTCCAGCAAGTAAAACGAAAGCTAAAAAGATAAATCAGATTATCCAAAATTTGATGAAGCAGACAGAGTCAGCTGCTCAAATTTATCCACTTTCGTAATTTTGTGGAGAAATATCCCAATTAATATTTTCACACAAAACCAGAGCATTTGACTACCAAACATTTTCCCGAAATATAGCAATTTTTACATAATTGCCAACTCAAATCTAAAAAATTAACCGAAAAACATAGCATATTCCTCGTTAATGACGGTAAATTACACATAAACAACAGCTATAAATCTGTGTCATTTATCCAAAAAATAATAATATTTAAAAATAAAAATTAAAAAGCTTTTGGATAAGAGGAAAAATCCATATCAGAAAGACCCCACCCACCCGGTTTCAATTTTTTTTTTCTAAATACCCCCACTTCCTTTCCTCCTCTTCTTCCTTCTCCCTCCTCTCTCTCT